CTTTCTCTTACTGTCCATTCAATTGCTGTTACTACCATTTTCTCCTATCCAAATGGCTTGCTCTGCTTCTTCAACTGCCCTTCTTTCTTCCAACCCAAAAGCTTCCATTTCCCCCAAATCCTCCTTTAAAGCCCCCATTTCTCAATGCCTCTCTGTTCCTTCCTCTTTCAACGGGCTCCGTAATTGCAAGCCTTTTGTTTCTCCTGTAGCCCGTTCCCTCTCTTCTCGCGTTGCTCAATCCCAACGCCGTCGTTTCACTGTCCGTGCCTCTGTAAGTTTCTCTTTCACACCTTTCTTTTCTTGCATTAGGACACAGAGTCTTAACTTTTAACTGTTACTGTTTATATTAATACTAATTTTGAGTCGATTATCTGAAACTCTGTATTTTGTTTTTCCGAGAGAAAGGGTTTACTTTAATTCACTTTATCTGTGTCCTGCACTTGAATTTGGAAGCTCAAATGTGGTTCCTTTGAACTTTAAATCCTTTATTTTTCACCATTCAAGTTAAATCCAGCAATATTTGATTGAGACGAAAAGTGCACACTTTTACCGTGACTGCTCAAGGTATAAGGTATACTTAAGGGATCACTTTGAACCTATCCCCAAACATAAGGAACCATTTTTATCATTTTCTCCTTTGAATTATAAGGCAATGTAAATTGTATGTATGGACTGTGTTTTAGTGAAAAATGAATTCAAATTTATATGTTCACTTGTACCTACTTGGTAATGGTAGAGTGGTAAGCTCAAAGCTGGAGTTCATATTTAGGATTAACTCATTAGGGGTCGTTTGGTAGGAGGTATTAGAAAAAATAATGCAAGCATTAGCACTATGCATTACTAATACCTTGTTTGGTACCTTTTTTCAACTTGTGTATTATTAGTTATACATCATACTTGGCATTATCCTATGCATAAGTAATGCATAGAAAACCATGACATTAGTAATACCAAGGCTTTAATGCATGCATTAGCATAGTTAAAGATAAAATTGTCCTTAAAGTCCCTTAAAGCTAGAGAATATGGAGGGCATTTTTGTAAGCAACTATTTTTTTTAAAAATTATGCAATGCATTATAATTTTAATACACCACACCAAACAATAGATAAGAAATAATATTTGCATAACTAATGCTTGCATAACTAATGCTTGCATTACTAATACATGCATTACTAATACACATTATTCCGCACTATTCTTATACACCCTACCAAACGACCCCTTACAGTATGTTGTCTGCTCCATTTTTGCCTAATGAATTTGATGGATTGGATGACAACGATTTTAATTAAAACCTATGGTTACCTCTTGCAACCGAATATAAAGGAAAACTAATATTGGGCATGACTATCTAGAAGGTGTTAGAAAAGTTAAATTAGATGACCAAGTGAAATAAAAGTAAGTTTCTGTTCAAGATTCTCGATTTACCAATTGTCCCAAAACTTGCTTCTTTTACTCTATGTAGATTAGAGCTTGCGCCATCAAAGAATGTTGATATAACCTCTCTGCTGTGTTTGTGCTTGTTTATGGATAAAGATTCATCTATCTAATGTCCTTTCATGTATGTTTTTCATGTATAGAGTGAACTTCCACTTGTTGGAAATCAAGCGCCAGACTTTGAGGCTGAAGCTGTTTTTGATCAAGAATTCATCAAGGTATTATATTGGTGTTTTTATTACTTACCTATAATTGGAGAAAAATGCTTAATTCCTAATCACAAAAGTGTGCTTAACTTTAGATTTCAAAACAAGAGTAGTATATTTAACTTTTTGTATAAAGATTTAATGTATGGCTCTTGTTCATATACAATAAAATCATATATTTTGATATGATCACTATATTTTTCAATAATTAACAACTTGTTTTCTAAAGTTTTGTTTCGTCTAAATTTTTCTTCAATTTTCACTAAAATCAGTAGAACCTTAGATTTTTGGCTTAAAGGTGAAAGATTATGCATGAACTATGAATATGTTTAAATATAAAGTAGTTTTGTCTCTTTGCCTACTATTTTATTGCGGCTTACTGCTTGCTATTTGATAGAGTTTTATTGGAAGAATGTAAAATAAGGAATTTAAAAGTAATATCTAAAACCACATAGGTGGTAAGTGTTGCAAGCCTAAATATCTTGTGAGGTTCCTGTAATTAGACCAAAATAATAAACATTAGTCAATCAGTCAATTCTCAATTCTAAATTAGTTGATGTAGCAAATGTCTATATTTTTTGCAAACCCATTTGATTGCAGTTAGTGACAGAATGAGAACATAGAAAGAAAAGAGTTTAGTACTACCTTAACATGCAACGTCTGCTATAGTCCTAGGATTTCACTTCACTTCCTGCCCCCTTTAGGAACTGTAAGACGTGGCTTTACACATTTAATCGGATTCTATGGATTGTATTTGCTGCTTACAACTACAATTATCCTTTTCCTGCAGGTTAAACTATCTGAGTACATTGGGAAGAAATACGTGATTCTCTTTTTCTACCCACTAGACTTTACATTTGTTTGTCCAACAGGTTAGTTTGGCACCTGAAATCTCTCTGCTGCCAGTTTCACTTTCTTCTAATATATTTGCACAGATTGTTGTGGTTGCTGACTGTGTTGTTTTTATGTAATATCTTTTCCTGCTTCTGTAGAGATCACTGCTTTCAGTGACCGTTATGAAGAATTTGAAAAGTTGAACACAGAAATATTGGGTGTTTCCGTAGACAGTGTGGTAGGTGTTTCTTTCCTTCAAATTTTTACTGTTATGTTATAAATTCATAACTTGTAGTTTTCTGCCCTGCGGTTTCAGTTTCTGCATTTATTTGCTTATTTCTGTTTAATGTGATAATGTGATTACTATTTCTTCAAAGTGCCTTTAAAAGGGTTATGTGTACCTAAATGGTTCGTCGTGCTGCATTGTGCTGCTGCACTAGTATGCCTCTTTCAGTTGTTTCCATCTCTGTGTATCTTTGTGATGGTACGACTCCAAGTATGTGTGGAAGTTCCAAATAAACTTCAACTTAAGAGAAAATAGAGTGCATGTGTGAATCTTGTTTTTTGAGGGGGTTATATATCCTCCCTTTTCTTTTTGTTTGAGTAAGGTATATATCCTATTTCTTCTTTTTTATTCCTTTATTGATTAACTTAATTTTTTTTTTAACTTTTGAATCATTAACTAGTGATTTAGACCTTTATCCTAATGTAGTTAGTATTCTGTTGTTAATAACTAAAAACTAGGTTTGGTTTGTATAGGTTATTATATCATTTATGAGTAGAAGTGCAAGTCTATAGCTTAAGTATAGAATACATATTATATGTCTCTCATATTTATTGAGTGAGCACCTATCTTTATTTGACGAGCATTTGACTTCATAGAAAAGGAAGAAACATTTGCATTTTTATATTTTTTCCAGAATGTTAATTGTGGTGCCTCAGTATTGACTTGTTTGCAAATATTCAATTGTAATCTTCAATGATTTTTGTCATCTGTCTCTTGAGCATAATTTTTTGTCTTGTATTATTGAATTCTTGTTGTTGCTCTTGCAGTTCTCCCACCTTGCCTGGGTCCAAACCGAAAGAAAGTCTGGTGGGCTAGGTGATTTGAACTATCCATTAATTTCTGACGTGACCAAGTCAATTTCAAAATCATACAATGTACTGATCCCCGATCAGGTTTGTCGTTCTGTTTGCAACTTTTTAGCTTTGAGAATTATTTGTTGATATTGGTTGGCATATCCCTGTCCTGAGTCATTTACAGTTTGTAAACTACTACTGCTACATAAGGTACTAATGAAATATTCATTTTTGGAGAAAATGCTGTGCCTTGATGCAAGGATGAAAAGCTGTATTTATGCGCAAATGCAATCAATCTTGAAATAAAGTTAGCTTCTAGTACACATGCACAAGAGTATGGTATAAATATGTGGACAACAAATTCCATCAGTAGTATCCCTTATAAGAAAATTGCATCAATAGTATTTACACAGAATATGCCTTGTTTTTTTTTTAAAATGAAGAACATAGAATATGCCTTTTTATTGACTTCACTTCTTAACTACATTCCGTTCTGCTATTATACCTTATTCACCTTCACCTCAGCCTTATAACGTATTTTGGTTTCAAGAGGAATCTGCAATTTTGCTCTTGTTGTGGTTATGGATCGGGCTGTGCATAATTTGGTTTATACCTAATTACCGAATGGAATGGAATTTGGTATTCGGTATTGGTATTTGGTTTAAATTTTTAAAAAATCTGGTATGTGGTATGGTATTCGGTGTCTAGAAATAAACTACTGAAATATCGATACCATACTGAATTACATACTAACTTCCTCAATACACATATTATAGATTATAACATAAATATACAAGCCATAAAATTATACTTCCTCATCCGTAGTGCACTCTCATGTCATTGTTTGAGCGACAATTTATATCATTACCGCAAGTTCAACTGTAATTTTGTTTTGGTTTCGTTTCCAGATTCCTATATTTATTTCAGAACTGATGGTAGTCCAGTTCAAAAGTTCATACATGATCACACAAGCCTTTCCTCTAACTCACTCTTTAGAAAAATTGAAATTTCCAAAAGGCACTTTCTATGATTTAGTGTAGATCCTTTTTTTTTAAAAAAAAAGACTGGTCCTGAGCTTAGGGTCTTTCAGAACCAGTCTCTCTGCCTTCTTAAAGGTAGGGGTAAGGTCTGCGTGCACACTACCCTCCTTAGACTCCACTTGTGGGATTATACTGGGTTTTGTTGTTGTTGTGCTTCTTAAAGACGGAAAAGAAAGTTATGATTATTTTATCCAAACCGAAGTTGTCGAACCAAATTAACCAAAACCAAAAGAAAAATCAAAACATATTGAATTAATTAGGTATGGTATTGGTATAGCATTTTGAGAAACCGAATACTGAAAATACCTAACCAAAATGTCTAAAAACTGTGCCAAACTGACCGACGAACATTCACTAGTTGTGGACATATCATGGAAATTAGAGCAACTTCTATCTGTCAAAAATATGTTGTCTCCAGTTGAAGAGGCTACTTCTGCTTTTGTCAAAGACATGTTTAAAGTTGTATTTTTAGAATTGTTTCTGATCCTCCATGTATGTCTCTGATAATTGGTTCCATCTCTCAAAAAAACCAAAAAAATGGTGAAAATAATGCTTCTCATTTGAAATTTTGTTTTCTCGTGGCTTACAGTTTGGTGCTAATGGAATCAGCTCCACGATTCACGATTTCTCTGGTGTTGTTTCAGGGAATTGCATTGAGAGGACTTTTCATCATTGACAAGGAAGGAGTTATTCAGCATTCAACCATTAACAATCTTGGAATTGGTCGGAGTGTTGATGAAACATTGAGAACTCTTCAGGTACCAATCAGCCATTTTATTCTGGCTTTTTCCAGTACATATTCAACCTCGTATAGCTATAGGTTGTTCTTATAATGCTTTGGTTTCCCAAAACAGGCATTGCAATACGTTCAGGATAACCCGGATGAAGTGTGCCCAGCTGGATGGAAGCCTGGGGAGAAATCCATGAAGCCTGACCCCAAGGGTAGCAAAGAATACTTTGCATCCATATGAGGTAATGACTGCAATTGCTTTATCTAATTTGTTGTTTAGGGAGGCTGGAGACGGTACTTCTCTGTTACATTTTTCTAATGTACCGGCTGAGTTTGGTCATTTTTGAGAATATATATTTGTACACTCTTATATATTCTGACTTTGAAAGCCATTACTTAAACCAACCCCTCAGTCCATCTGATCTACAATTGGATCATAATTCAGCAAGTAAATATACCTATCTTTTTAGCTGTCAGGATTTGGTCTAGTGGTAAGAGAGTAACTTGTGATTTGTGTGTTAGGCGCGCATACCTGGTTCCAGTCTTGCCATAGACAAAAGCTTGGTATTTAAGTGGATATAAGATATAGCAATGGGCTCACTCCGAGTTTTCAGCCATGAATTTCTCGGTTATCAAAACATATATGTACCAATTTTTGCATCACTTCACAAGTTATATGCACTATTCTAGTTTCTAGCTCCTCTCTTCTGGTGGGCCAATATTATTGTTAAATAGTGTTGGAACAAGCATATGCTTTTTCTGCAGCATACTCACCAGCGTATTATAAACGTTTTCAATGTTTTCCAATTTATACGACCTGCTTATCAAGTAGTTTACGTCACAAACATCATTCTCACTTCATATCCGTTTGACATTCATTTGACTCACTACCATATTTGGCAATCTTATCTAAAAATGGGAGAGGCGAGGGAATATATGCTAGGAGTTAGTATATAACTTTTCTCTTTAATTGTGGGTTTGTTGACGCGTTCCAGCACATAACAACTGACTATGATAATCTTAGTTACTTAATAGATGTAATTCTTTATGTATCCCTAACACATAGCATCACCATATATATTAGCCAATTATGCATGACCCTCATAATTCTAAGAAGACCTGGTCTCCAAACCACTTGTTTAAGAATATTTTATGAGAAAAAAAATGATCAGTAAGATCCTTCTATTGTTTAACCAGATTTCTATTCGAAGATTCCACTTGGCTGTAAACTCCTCCATCCACATGATTTGGAGCCATTATTCCATCTACGTGGTTTACAACAAATTGCCTTATACTAATCAAGATAATCATATAATTGTTTTCCAAGTGGTTCATGAATCAGTAACAAGTTATGATGGAATCATTAACATTTTTAAAATAATAAATTAAAATGAAACATACAATTTGGTGTTGCGCTCTTTTCCTTTTTTGTTTTAGTTATTGAAATAGATTGCATTATGTCTGTTGTAATCAAAGGGACATACATGGATCTAAAGTAACATTCAGTACTAGTTTTAAGTGTATGTGCGTTACACACGTATGTATAGCGTCAATCAATTAAAAATGTATACATTGACTATAAATAAATATAATGTTTGTTTAAATAATGAAATAAATATTATTACATTGACACAATAGCTTAATTCAATATCTTCTTAATATGCAAGATGATGAATTAGTTAAATATGTACAATATTTTTATCAAATTATTAAAGAAACTAATTTTTTTGAGGACTTAAATTCTTAATATTAGGTCAAATAAAGATTTGATATTTAGTAACAATACTTTATCCACAACAAATTTTCTTTTAAATGGTACAAAATTGAACTTAATTTTGCACCTTATGTTTGTCGAAGTGTTGGTATTAATTATGGAAGTTTTCCAATTATCTCCCTCTCATAGTGATCAAAGAATAAAACGAATAGCATGTTCAATCTCACATGAATCTCATAGCATTTGAAAGGGGAATTGTCGAATCGGGATCAAGAACAAAGCAAAATGTTCCCTCTTTTTTTAATCTATTTTATTATTTTTAATTTAATATTGTTTTTCATCTAAAAATTAGCATAGTGAAAAGATATCTTTTGAGATAAAAAAAACGTGCAATTAGAGATAATTCATATGGCATGAAATTTGGTGTATTTTGTCATAATTTAAGTTTAATATCTATAGAAGGTAAAATTTTAATATTTTTTAAAATTTTAAATATTAGAATTTCTACGTAATTCAACAAGGAATATATTTTATGAGTAATCTAATTTATTTTATCTTATAAATATTAGAAAAATAATAAAATCATTTAAATATGAAATCCATGTAAACTCATATTATGGTAGCAGGATACCTTACGAGTTTTTCAAAGATTAGAAAATTTAATAAACGTGAAAAAGTTATAATCATGTTATATAGTTCAAATAACCCCAAAAAAAGATAAAATCTTAATTGATTCTAAACTCCTATATATTAGTAATTAATACATATGTCAAATAAGGAACGATTTAATAAAAAATATAGCTAGTATAAATTATTCATGGTATGAAATTTAATATTCCTCCTAAACTTAAAGGGAAAATTTTTATACTCCTAGCTATAATTGGAGTAGAAGGTGACAGATTAGTACTCCTACAATATGACCCCCAAATGAATACTACTGTGAAACCTTCCTAGTTTAAATTAGTTTGTAAAAGTTTTATTAACCAGAAAATAGCTCTTTTTAGTATATATTGAAAGTAGTTGAAATTCTTGAACTAAAAGAAAATCGAAAATTAAATTCCCAAATATTAGGGAGATAATTAATTTACTATCTTAAATGGTATGGAGTTAATTAAATGACTATTTATAAATATTAAAAAAAACTAATCAAATAACTATTTTGTATAATGTGAACTCTATTTTAAAAAAGTAAAAAAAGCAAACGAAACAGTTAGCCTACCCTAAAACAACAAATACACAATGTAAATTAGAAGGCGATGATGGCAAAGTGCAAAACTACTTCGTAATAGATTAACTCAATTGACACGAAATATAAGAGCTATATTTGAGACGGAATCCAATTGTGTTATCATTATAGGAGTGCTAGAGAAATTCTAATTGATCACAAATTTTAAAATATAACTCATAAACTAACTTTTGTCTCTTAACAAACGGCCTAGGAATAGACAACGAACAATTAATGTCACCTTAGTTTTAGGGATTCGTTTTACCAAAATTGTTTTTTTTTTTTTTTTTTTTTTTTTTTTTTTTTTTGGAATAAAGAGAAACTTCCATAAAACTAAAAGAAGCCAATAATATGCTGCATTCGTTATCTCTTGATACAACAATTTTCGTTTTTGAAAGAATTACAAGAAAATACACTTGACTTCACACCATAACAAAAAATGGCCCATATTTTTAAGTTTTACCCGACCTAGCCTATATCGTACATATTTTGAAAGCACTAGCAAATTCAATATCTGTTGTTTTTACAATCATTGCTTCTAAAAGTTATGGAGTTAAATCTATGTTCTCACGATCATTGCTTTTACTCTCGCTTCTTCTCACATCTTCTACATATGCTTCAAGGGGTCGTCTGCCATTACTGCTTCTCCCATGTGTCACCTGGTTGCAATGTAAGAAAATTGAAGATTCATCATTCCACCATTGAAAGCCATTCAAAGCTTTTACTTTCAAAAATAAGATTTTTTTGAGTTTGTTAGTTGTTTGGATTGGGTGTTGTTCCAATTGATTGAAAATATCAAAGGAGTTCAAAATTTAAATTTGAAGTGATTTGGAATAGATTTGAGCAAGATTTGAGTTAAATTTCAGAAAAAACGCAAGGAAGAAGACGAAATCAGTTTTTTGTATAATCTTGTATAATTGTGTATATGAGTATAAATACATCTTATACACTATTATACACCTTTATACAAGCGTCTGTAGACGAACTTCTTCCACGATTTTCAGTTGCAATTCTTGTTCAAAATCAGTCCAAATCATCATTAAATGACTTCAAATTTTATATACAACCTCCTTATACCATTTCTAATAATTCTAGATAATACCCACTCTAAATTTCTCACAAAATCAAATTCGGAATCTAAACTCATATAGTTAAGCTTATTAAAAATCTAATTTTCACCACTCAAATGGATTTGGTTTGTTGAACTAATATTTGAGTTACATTTAGTGATTCGAAATTAACTTAAAAGTTTGAGCAATCTTTTTTAAAACTTAAATAGTAATTTTGAGAACCTATTGGAGTTGGATNCAGAAAAAACGCAAGGAAGAAGACGAAATCAGTTTTTTGTATAATCTTGTATAATTGTGTATATGAGTATAAATACATCTTATACACTATTATACACCTTTATACAAGCGTCTGTAGACGAACTTCTTC